GCTGGGACCGATGCGACGCCGCCGCCCGAGGGCGCGGACGCCCCCTGCCCGCGCCGCGCAGCTCCCGCCCGGCCCACGCCGCCGGAGCCCGAGCCCCAGCCCGAGCTGAGCCGCGCCGGTGCCCCCGCTGGTGCCGACGCGAGCTGCGCTCCGCGGGGCCGCCAGGACCACAACTCCCACAATGCCGCGCGCCGCCGGGGGGAGGGGCGCGGGGCCGGCGGGGCGGGGCCGGGGACCCCCAACACCTCGGACGTGCGCCCGCCCCCTGCGGTGACCAGGCAGGGCGCACGCCGAGCGCCCCGCACGAGGGGCCCGGCCTGCGCCCCGGGACGCAGCGCCGCCAGGCCGGGCGCTCGGCCGTGCACTAGTCGGGCGGCGTTGCTCACCTCGCCCTTTCGTCTCCGCGAGGTCTCTCCCTGCCCTGCCTCCCGTCGTCTCTCCGTCCCTCGCTCTGGCTTCCGAGTCTCTCCTTCCGCATTTCTCCTCTTCCTTCTCTGTCACTTTCCCCCTCGCTTCCTCTCGTCCGAGCGCCCAGCTTTCCTGCGCTCACCGACTCAACATACACTTCGGCGGCCTCTAGGGCACTTGGGATGAAACCGCAAATCCGACAGGGTCCTAGAGTCTCAGGAAAACCCCTTCCCTCAGTACGGATGATGGCGGGCCCGTCTCTGTGCTTGGCCTGTGCGCGCGCTGAGCGCCCGGACAGGCTCTGCCCTCGGGGAGCCGCAGTCTAGCCGGGCGGGGACAGGCCGTGCCCAGGTCCTCGAGGGTCTGGCTCTGCCACCGCCCGCCGAGCAGAGTGGTGGGAAGGGAGAGCACAGGCAGGATGAGTGTGTGACAGGGGGCCTGGCAAGGTGGGGACGGAGGCCCCAGGGAGGCCGCTCAGAGGAAGTGGCGTTGGAGCCCAGGCCTGGGGGAGACCAACGGCATGTCTTAGGGGCGCCAGGGGCACCATGCGTGGGTGGGTTCTGGGGGCACGGAGGGGGATGGCCTGCGCAATCTGTCCCTGTCCCAGACCACCTCTTCTGTGTCCCAGAATTCATCTCTACATGGCCCATAATCCACCTGGTCCCTGACCTCAGAATTTGCCTCTCCTGTGAAGGCCTAGAATCTACCTCCTCCCTCTCCCAGAACCCACCCCTGCCATGACCCAGAACCCACCTCCACCACGTTCCAGAATCTACCTCCTCCCTCTCCCAGAACCCACCCCTGCCATGTCCCAGAACCCACCCCTGCCATGACCCAGAACCCACCTCCACCATGTTCCAGAATCTACCTCCTCCCTCTCCCAGAACCCACCCCTGCCATGTCCCAGAACCCACCCCTGCCATGACCTAGAACCCACCTCCACCACGTTCCAGAATCTACCTCCTCCCTCTCCCAGAACCCACCTCTGCCATGTCCGGGAACCCACCTCTTATCAT